TCTACATAAGACTTTATAGTCATTGTCAAAAATAGAGGGAATAATACAAAAAATAATATATAATAGAATTGTCTGATAAAATATTTGATCAAGTAATTAATTTTGGTTTCAAAAATGCGTTTATGTTTGTCATTCATTTGATACCCTGGTGTGTTATGTTTAATATGATAAAGAATTCTTAACGCATGGAATCGTTTAGAATATTCCATATAATGGAAAACAAATCGACCCATAAAATGTACCAAGGTAGCGTTGCTAAATAATAAACATAATATTCGTTTATTTTCTATGTTTTGAATAGTATCGGAGAATATGTATGTAATGAGTGGACTGTCGGGATATATTGCTAACACTGCAAATCTAATGCTGAGTAGTAAGCAAACAAAAGTTGACACCGTATTCACGATCAGCCTGTGTTTAATTCTTACGCCATTCATGTAGTCCTCGATTGAACGTGAATTCAATACATAACGCATTGAAATAAATGTTTCCATAAATACTAAACCATTCATATATTGAGACCCACCAGGATATATATCACTTTCAGTAATTAAATGATTATTTACTGTATTTATTTGATTAGTCCGCGAACGCCATGTGTTTATGGTATGAATTAATGTCAAACCAGATGTATGTCGAGAATCGCCTCCAGAATTGGTTTGAAGTTTAGTAACAAATTCACCATTTATTGGATTTACTTGATTAGATCGCTTATAGCCATTGTTGGATCCGGGATTATCAGTGTTTGTTGAATAGATCAATAAAAAGTTTTTCATTAAACTCATCAATACTTTTAGAAACTCTTTTAGTTTAATATAATAGAAACGGATATCCATTTTAAATATTTTATTATTTAATCGGAAAATATATTCAATGCCTTAACAAATGAAATTCTTGAATACTATAAAATACTGTACATTATGTATTGTTACACTAGCTGTCAATTTCTTTATTTCATAATTTTTAAATTAGATTTTTAATGACTTTTTTGTGTATCTCAAATATTTTATTGTTTGAATGGGTAGTATTATTTCATGATAAGTTCACATAACCATAAATTATTTACATTGAAATTGTAAACAACTAGTATAATGCCATTGTATTTATTGATTTTTGGGTTTATTATTTATTCTTACTTTAAATAAGATCATTAACCATTAATTATCTCGAATGCAGGTCTAATTAAACTTGAAATTTATGTTTAATATTGTCAAAAATATAGGTTTTATTAAGCAATATTACACTAAATTACTAGTATAAATTTATATATTTCGTGTATAACCTACATATAATTACAATGAAAATATAAATATCATTAATATATTTCAAAAACATTCCCATAATATATTAAAAATGCAATACAATTTTATAATCTGATTCAGTATAAGAAAATATTGCAGTTCATCACGTTAGATTTGCTCTTATATCATTATGAATTTAATAAATACTTGTATGATATGATTCTACAATGAATAAAACAATTATGACATTAATATAAAACAGATATTTATACAATACGGTAATTTTTATTTTAAATTTTAATGTTACATGTTGTTTATGAAATCGAATTTATAATCAAGCTCACAATTGAAATAAATTCATTATCAATATATAGTTGAAGACATGGCCGCACAGGTAGTTAAAGAACTGCCAGTTATTCATCGGAAAGAATTGATAGCAATAGAAGCCGATGTCGTTTCCGCACAACTTCTCTATAAAGCTCTCAATTTTGAGCCTATGTTTCAAAGACATCCGCTTCTCCACCAATAGTCTGTATAATCTTTTACGAGATTTATGTGCAGAATATGTTACCGAAGCGCACATATAGGTAGCCATAAATAGGAGACAAACAAACAGGGTCATCACCAATGATCTTGCAATACGAATATGAAAATTAGTATTTTTGTTGAACACTAGGTATGCCATTAAATTGATATAAGGTGTGGCCATATAATATACAATGCATATTAAATATTTAAACATATCATTCACGTCTTCAGTCTGTTTAGTGATGTCGTTGTGTTTAATAATAGCATTTAAAATGTGTTTTAAATTTGCATTTGTTATACATTTTGTGTATCTATCGATTTGTTGATGAATTTCCCGAAATTGATATCTCAGGTAAAGTGCCACCAAATACCAAATGGTAAATACTACTAAGAAGGTACCAACGCCCTGGGTATTCATGATAAACGTACAAATCATCCATAATATAATACTAATTACTGAATAATCATTTCTGTTATTTAAATAGCTTTTAATTGTCATGAATAAAAATGCCGGAAATACCAATAAAAATATTGTATAAAAACATTGCTTTAAAAAATACTTTGAAATAAAAGTGACATTTCTCTCAAATTGACGTTTATTAATGTCATTCAATGAATAAATACCAGAATTATATTTAATATTATAAAGAATATTTAAGGCATGAAATCGATTATTGTATTCTAGGTAAAGAATACAGAATCTACCCAAAAATAGCATCAAGGGAACAAAACTGAATGCATAGCAAAATATGTTAGCATTACCAAGGTGTTTGAATACATTAGCAAATAAATAAGTTATGAGTGAATTATCGGCATATGCACCTGAAATTGCAAATCTGATGCTCAGTAATAGTAGACATAAATTGGTGATTGAATTGACAAATATTCTGTATTTTAAATGCAAACCATTGTTGTAGTCGTGAAGTGAACGCGAATTGAATACATAGTGTCTTGAAATGAATGTCTCGATTGTGTTAAACGCTGTTATCAGTTGTCTATCGGTATTATAAGTAGATTTATAATTAAATGAATTATAGATTTTATTTGTAGTGTTAGTGGTATTATTAAAACAATTTATAAATGTAAAACAATATTTTAATAAAATGATGACTGATGAAATAAATGAGTTTACAAAATTCGATATTGAATTAACAATCATTTTTATATTTGTAATAATCATATTGATAAAATAATCAGTTATTACATATCCAAGAATGATAATAAAATTTTTTATTTTAAATGTTTTTTGGTATACATTTTTGATCACCAATATCACCAATATATCCGTGGTTTATGTTATTTAATGAGATAACTATTTTTAAAACTAAGATATATTTCATAGATGTACTTTACCATACTTTTACATTAATTATTATATTAATTATCATCAGTGAAATTATGAAATATGTTTGTTTCAAATGTTGAATAAGTGCATGAATTCTATAATTAACTATTCATTAAATTATGTAGAAATAAGTTTAATGAGAAAGTTCATGCAAACTAACTTTTATCAAAATAAGAAAATTAATGCAACTAACTAAACTTATTTTGACTAAATTACTCACTGACATTTAAAATTATAATTTCATTTTAATATTTTATAAATTCTATTCAATAGTCTATTGACATATTTAACAGAAAACACAGAATCCTGTAATAATTGCATTGATCGTACATTGGAGGAAAAGCCGTGTTTTACTCTTTGGTCTGAAGGACTGTCTGGACTCAGGTGTAGCTAATGGGCGGACCAATGAATCGACGTGAGAGTGATTGGTGTCCAACACGTGGCGGACTGTTTGCACGACAGCTGTCACTCGATGGTCGCTGTGTGTGTGGTTTAAGCGCCGCTTCCGTGTTCTTCGGACCAACGCTTCAAACCTTTGTTGTTGTGTTTGTCCGCCGCGTCAACTAAGTGGTGGTCAGGAGATCGCCACAAACAACGATACCGACGGTGGGACGGGGTATCTCTGGTGGTCCTAACTGTCGAAACAGGTCTCACGCCAGAGGTTTTATAATTCAATAAACACCCAAGTATCAATTCAAAAATAGCTTTTATTTCAAACTGTATGAATACAAAATGGTTACCTATGATTTGACCTACAATACTTAAAATACTAAAATATATCAACGTAGGTCAAATCAACATGAACGATACAAAATAACGACAAGTCTATTAGAGAAAGCACATTTCATATACAGTAGAAAATGAATAAAGTATTAAACTAGTAGACCAATAGTTATAGAGTATTTCTATGAATAATCTCTTGAACAGTGAGACTCTCAATAAGTACTAAAAGCAAACAAATATTAATAATTAGTCTAATAGTGGAAAAACATTTGAGTCAAAAACTAATCAATTGGAAATGAATACTAATAATAGTCAGTCTCATAGCCATATACGACATTGAATGATTTGTAACAAAACTATACTTTGCTATACATTATAAAATAAGAATATTTTGAAAATTTCATATTCATTTCAAAATGAATTACATAATAAATGTCTAAAAACTTTAATCACTCAAATGGGACGGTGTGTCCACTGAGCGCCGCCATCGACCGGAAATATACAACCGGTAATGAAGGAGGCGGACTGGGATGAGGCCAGGAATGTGACGGCATCGGCCACGTCTACCGGTTCCCCAATACGTCTCATCGGGTAAATAGTGGCGCACAACTTCTCAAACTCTATCCACTTATCGCCTAACGATGTCTCCACGAGTGGCGTACGAATAACACTCGGGCTATGGGTGGGGAAGGGGGTGTGGTTTGTGTTGAAGCAAAACTTATTATTCATATCATGTAGCCTTACCTCACACAATTCACTCGTATCCCTTTGGGTGCCAACTCGAGTGCCATACATTTGGTAAACATATTGAGCGCATTCTTAGCCATACTATGAGCCATCGCTTTTGGCACCTGTTTTATACCCCCATATGTGACACAAATTTGAATATTTGATTAAATGTTTTAAATATTATTTACCGCTCGTTCTCCACTTCTACCCGACATGTTAATGATATTGCCTTTACTTTGCTCCAGATATGGCACCACTAATCGGGTCAACACCTGAACACTCCTGAGGTTTATATCAAACATTTGATCAAAACTTTTAATATAATCATTGGACGAGAAATCAATTGAGAGCGTATAACCCGCGTTATTGACCAGAATATCTATTCTCCCAAATTCTTTGAGAGTAGTGTTCACTAAATTCTTGACATCACTCTCAACCAGGATGTCAGCCACCACTCCAAGTGGTCTCCGTATGGACAGAGATTCACACGTTTTGATCACAGAATCGATCTTATTTTGATCCCTTCCGGTGATGACTACGTGTGCGCCCAGAGATGACCACTTTATGGCAATCTGTGCGCCGATTCCCGACGACGAGCCTATCAATGAATTTATAAAACACACAAATTTAAAGCTAATGTTTTCCATAATCAAATAAATATAAGATAAACCTGTTATGAGAGCTACTCTCCCTTCAAAATCCATTGAGATTTGATTGCTGTATAGTATATTGTATTTAATATTATAATATTATTATAAATTTTAATACTTTAATAAAATGTAATATAAATATTTTTATCTAATATTATATTTCCAAACTAGATACATAAAGTTTTGTGAACAAATTCATTGAAATAATTAACAAATATATTAAAATGCAAATTCATTGAAATAACAAATTATGAAAATGAAATGATTTGCAAATATTTATAATAAATAAGCATACAAAATAATAATTAACACAATACTGGAGGCTTACAACCGGTTAATATTTAGCATATTTTATTAATTTATAAATGTAAAAAAATATTTAAATAAAATGATGATTGATGAAATAAATGAGTTTACCAAATTAGATATTGAATTAGTAACCATTTTTATATTTGTAAGCATTGATAAAATAACTTATTACATATCCAAGAATGATAATAAAAATCATCTATTTTAAATGTTTTTTGGTATACATTTTTTGATCACCAATATCACCAATATATCAGTGGTTTAGGTCATTTAATGAGATAACTATTTTTAAAATTAAGTTTTGATTTATTTCATAAATGTACTGTACCATACTTTCACATTAATTATTATATTGATTATCATCAGTGCAATTATGAAATATGTTTGTTTCATGTGTTGAATAAGTACATGAATTCTATAATTAACTATTCATTAAATTATGTAGAAATAAGTTTAATGAGAAAGTTCATGCAAACTAAAACTTTTATCAAAATAAGACAATTAAAGCAAATAACTAAACCTATCTTGACTAAATTACTCACTAACATTTAAAATTATAACCTTATTTTTTATGTTTTATAAATTATATTAAATTTTGACATTTACTAACAAATCATATTTTATTTAGTATTTAAAATTTACAATTTGTTTGCAAAATATTATTTTATTCATAAATAATTATTCATAAAATGATACAGTATTATATCAATATAATAATACTTTATAATTGAAACAAATCTACAATCAACATATAATTAGCTACCAGTCCGCACAAGTATGTAAAAAACTCCAAGTTATTCATCGGAAATAAATTATAGCAATAAAATCCAATCTCTTTTCCGTACAACTTCTCAATAAAAGCCTGAATTTTGAACCTATGTTTCAAAGACATGTGTTTCCGTAACAAAGGTTTGTATAATTTGTTACGAGATTTATGGGCAGAGTTTGTGACCGAAGCGCACATATAGTTAGCCATAAATACAAGACTCATGAATAGAAATATGCCAACTGACCTGGCTACTTTGACATAAAACTTGGTATATTTACTGATCACTATGTATGCCATTAAATCGAAATAGGGTGTGGCCATGTAATATAAATTCCATAATACATACTTAAATAAATCATTTACTTGTTCAGTTTGTCTAGTGATATAGTTGTGTTTAATAATAGTGATAAATATTTGCTTATAGTTATCATTAGCTATATTTTTATTGATTTGTTGATTAATTTCGCGAAATTGATATCTAAGATATAATGTGACCAAGTACCACACGGTGAACCCGGCTATAATAGTGCCAAATGCCTGGATATTCCATATAAACGTGATAATCATCCAAAATATAATACTAATTATTGAATAATCATTTCTATTATTTATATAACTTTTTATAGAAATATATAATAGTATTGGAAATAACAGTAGAAATAATGCATATGAACATTGAATTAACAAATATTTAGATATAAAACTAATTTTTCGTTGATATTTACGTTTATTGATGTCATTCAGTGAATAGACACCAGAATTGTATTTAATATCGTGCAGAATATTTAGAGCATTAAATCGATTGTTGTATTCTAGGTATAGAATACAGAATCTGACAAAAAACTGCATCAGGGTAACCACACTGAATGCATAGCAAAATATGTGAGCATTACCAAGGTGTTTGAATACATTGGATAATAAATATGTTACGAATGGGTTATCTATATAAATGGCCAAAAGTGCAAATCTAATGCTTAGTAAAAGTATGCAAACATTGGTGATTGAATTGAAGATTATTCTGTGCTTTAAAAACAAACCATTGTTGTAGTCGTGAAGTGAACGCGAGTTAAATATATAATGTTTTGCAATAAAAGTCTCGATTGTATTAAAAGCTTTATACAACTTTTTGTCAATTGTATAATCACTTGAAATATTTACAACATTTGAAGTTTTGGCCGCACTAAAACAGTTTATGAAAACAAGTACAAAACAATTTTTTATAAAATTTAAAATAACTAAAACATATGTAGCGACAAAACTAAAAATTTGATTAAAAATCATATTATATTTTAGAAATTGACAATAAATATTTGATGTTACTATTCTTAGTATGTCAAATAAAAATTTTTGCTCCACATATTTTCTTATCATTAAAAGCCTACACATCATTAATGTATGTATATCCGTGTTATAAGCTATTTAATGTGATAATTAAAATAATAATGAAGGAGATTGACAATAATTCACAAAGAATTATGGTACAATATAAGAAACATTAATGATTATTTTAATTACAATTTGAAGCTATGAAAATTTTTAAATAGAAATTTTGAATAACTGCACAAACAAGATCGTTAAAAATTCATAAAATATTTTTATTTGTGCCTTTCAACTATAGCCAGACTTTAATGATAATTACTAAAAATATTAACATTAATATAAAATGAATAAAATAATAACATTAAATGTATTAAATAAATAGATTAGAAATACATTTTCAGAAAAAGACAATTTCGTAAAGAGATATCCTATAAACGCCAATAAAAATAAACGTTTAGCACTACTCTAATCGTCAATTCATTACTGGATTTTGAAGTCAATTGAGTTTCTCGAAGATTTGTCGCACTTCTTGAAACACTTGGTCCGGAGGGAGATTGGCGTCCACTTTGTGCACGAGATTAGACTTTTCGTAGTACCTAATGATAGGCACTATTTCCATGAGATAATTGTTGAACCGTTTGTTGACACTTTCGAGATTATCATCACTGCGACCACTGTTTCCACGTTTCAGACATCTCTGGACGCATACATCGCGCGGACAGTCGAAGAACAGGACGAACTTGAGGTCCACTTTGTGTGTCATCTCCCTCTGCCAAACGTCCAAATTGTCTCGATTGAGGGGAAAGCCGTCGATCACAAACTTGCGGCCGCTTCCGGACGACCTTTTCATGGCGTTGTCCAGCAACTGATAGGTGATCTCCACGGGAACTATGGTACTCGTCCTCATATGCCATTCAATGAGTGCCCCATATTGTGATCCCTCTGTGTTTTGTTCGGCTCTTAAGAGGTCGCCGGCACTCAAGTGAATGAAACCAAATTGCTTGCGGATGCGCTCGCATTGGGTGCCTTTCCCGGCGCCCGGCCCTCCCAACACAAACACCACCCATGGCTTGGTCTCTACCTATGCGCACATGGCTCCCACTGTCACCGTCTGATCCCACAGTGACTTTCACTCGCAAGTAAGCGCTGGAGATATGGATACTTGAAACAAGTGCGCAGTTTGGGTATTATCAGCAAATTGTTACCAAAAATGTTTCATAACTGTATTCATATGAAATTCAAATCAAAGTCTATATGATATGCAGTGATGTTATATTTAGTTATTTTTAAATTTTTATTGATTACTAAACAGCAACGTATTTCAAAATCAACTCGCTGATCTTAACCATAATTTACATGATGATAGTTTATACCTATTAGAAACATAAATAAATATCCCAGGTGTTAAATCCAATAGGTTGGCCAGTAATAGATGATAATCAAAGGCCCAAAGGCTTGCATCAAAAATAATTGAATAAATGTGTGAATAAATTGAGAGAAAAATAAAGATTTATTCATTTTAAACATTATTCACAAAATGTTTGAAAAAGGTTTTTCAATGAATAATCTACTAATCTGTTCAAAATTAACAGTAAATCTAAAGTTTAAAATCAAAATGTTTACCTGAATTTTATAAAATTTTAAAAACAGGATAACTAATACACATTTTAAATTAGGTTAACATGTTATATATATTTTAAAATAAGATTTATTTTCACAATTAATTCATATTCAATATTCAATCTAAGATTATAAAAGAGGTAAAGAATTTTATAGATTATTAATAGAAAAACAATTTTCAAACATTTTGTGACAAAAATTTCAAACAATTAAATTTTGGTGAAATAGCGGCGGACAGGTGGCCACTATAACTAAGGGGTAAGTATCATTTGAAAGCTACATAGATTAGCTATAATTAGAATAATTTTTAGGGATTGACTTATATGCATTTCTGGCATTTCAAAGCGAGAGAGTTGGTTATGTATTTAATTATCATTAAATTTTAATTTTTTATTAATTTTTTACAAAGTATTTAATGTAGTTCCTAGGTAAATCAGTTAATAATTTAATAATTATAATTGTAATTATATATATAAATAGCTCTCTCTCCCAATTTTATGGTCCTGACAGGGAGAGAGAGCTATTTATATATATAATTACAATTATAATTATTAAATTATTAACTGATTTACCTAGGAACTACATTAAATACTTTGTAAAAAATTAATAAAAAATTAATATTTAATAATAATTAAATAAATAACCAGCTCTCTCGCTTTGAAATGCCAGAAATGCATATAAGTCAATCCCTAATTTTTATTAAATTTCATTTTGATTTAAAAATTTTAGTTGACTCTGATAAGTTGTCGCAATTTTTATTCTTAATGATTACAAGGTTTCCAGATAATTCTGTAAACAGGGTGCAGTTTAGTACAGATTTCAATCAAACTGTTTATGTTATGAGATAAATTATTATTTGATAATTTTAATTTCATAATAAGTCAATTGCAGTACTCTTGTACAATTACATTACATTAAATTGTATGATTATTTAAATGAATAAAACATGTAAACCTGTTTATTGTCTAAAATAACATTTAATATATAATTAATACAACAATAAATAATTATTGTAAAATGTTGTATATTTTTAATATACCTATAAAATTAATTAACGATAATTAGACAGTAAACTCATGACGAACGCACTTAACTCAAGAATCAAGTTTGATAAAAAAAATATGAACTAATAGATTAGTAGTTTGTATTTGTAAACCAATAGTAATTCTATCAAATAAGTTCAACACTCAGAATATATTTATCTAATATTATAAATAAATTTTAAAAATAATTAAGAAATAAGATACTAATTATAATTGCTATTAGAGTACTCAGTGTACTCAAACTTGTAGGCTCCGTATAAATATAAGTTGGTGATAAATATAAATTTAGTTTTAGTTAACTATAGTTTTTTATAGAGAAACATTAAATTTAAGTTGATAATTTATTATTATATAACTTTGACATGGATTTAATTCACTCGTCAATAATCATAGTCTTATTATCAATAGGACCTGCTGTTTATTGGTAAATAGATGAGATAATTATCGAAATTTAATAAAAATTAATGTAATATTGTTTAAACAGGTATTTATCCAGAGGTTTTTCCTATTGGTCTAAAAGGGGAATCAAAGGTCCTAGACCATTTCCAATTTTTGGTAATCTTTTGGACTTTTTCATAATACCTCAACCCTTGCAAGAACTCAAATGGTTTAAAAAATATGGCAAAATTTATGGGTATATAATTCATATTAATACAAGTGGATTTTTATAGAAATATTACTAAACATGAAATAAATGTTATATTGAACAGTCATTACCTTGGTAAAACACCAATTTTGAACATAAGTGACCCCGAGTTGATTAAACAAGTTCTGGTGAAGGACTTCCATCTATTCTCGGATCGATTCAAATTCGCTCAAAATAAAGATGAGATAATGAGTAGAAATTTGGCTCAATTGAATGGCGATGACTGGAAGAGAGTCCGATCCATAGTTAGCCCGACATTCACTTCCGGAAAGATGAAGAAAATGTATCCAAGAATTAGGGAGTGTTTGACAGACTTTATGAACCATTTGGAGGGCTTCGCCGCTAAGAAAGAAGAGGTGAACGTAAAGGACTTGTACGGCAACTACACTATGGATGTGATCGCCACGTGTGCCTTCGCCACCAAAACTAATGTCCACAAAGAACTCGATAATCCGTTTGTAGTGAACGCCAGAATTGCATTTAACACAAGTCCTGTTAAAAGAATAGCCCAAATGATGTTACCAGGGTTTGTACAGAAAAGGTTAGGACTGGTCAACAGTTCCACTTCGGCGCAACAGTTCTTCTTGGGATCCATCCGTCAGATTCTTGAGAATAGGCGTCAAAATCAGAGCAAGAAATATAATGATTTCCTTCAACTGCTGATTGATGTCGAGAAGGAGAATGACATCACAAGGGATGAGAATGATGTCAATGAATCACATCATGTCAATGAAGGTATCAATACTAACCAGTGATCACTTTGAGTGCAAATCAATAGTAAAATATAATTGAATTCATAATTGATTTAAAAGGTGAGGAAGAGTTGGCGGTCGAGAGGAAGGCCCTGAATATAAATGTTGTGAATAAGCACTTGACTGAGAATGAGATTCTCGCACAGGCTATGGTTTTCCTTTTGGCCGGGTATGAGACAACCGGAACTTTACTCTCATTCTGTACGTATGAATTGGCACTCAATCCTCACGTCCAGGAAATACTACACAAAGAAGTAAACTCTGCCATCGATTCCAACGGAGAGATTGATTATGATTTGTTGTCAAGACTTCCGTATTTGGATGCAGTCATCTCAGAAACATTAAGACTCCACTCCCCGGCCCAACGCCTTTCACGCCTTTCCACTACTGACTACAAATTAGGCGACACTGGGATCACATTGCACCCAGGACAGCAAATTGACTTTCCCATTTACGCCATCCATACATCTGAAGAGAACTACCCTCATCCATTCCAGTTTAACCCTGATAGGTTTATGCCTGAAAATAGACATAAAATTACACCTTATACTTACTTACCCTTCGGTGCCGGCCCTCGCAATTGCATTGGTATGAGGTTTGCATTACTCGAAGCCAAATTGGCTTTGGCTAACATTATCAGGAAATTTACATTTTTCCAAACGACTCGGACAGACATTCCTCTGCGGTATAAAAGATCTTTCGCTTTAACGGCCCCTCAAAGACTAATTGTCGGAATTGAGAAACGAGTTTAAAATAATGTGTAGCCTTGTATAATGTCTTGAGATGAATGTCTCGATTGTGTTAAACGCTGTAATTAGTTGTCTATCAGTATTGCTATTTGATAGAAAATTTTTCATTTTTGTGTGCTATGTTTACATATCATACTAAATTTAGACCTAAACTATCCACGTCAAACATCCAAAATAATTTTACAATTCTGTATATTTATTAATATTGATTATGAAATGTTTGCATAGAATTTTGAATAATTTCACAAATGGTATAATTATTACACAATAAAATGTATAAAATTGGTGTTAATCACATATTGTAACCTAAAATGAACTTTAATTAAATAAATCTCATATTTAAACAAAGAAATAATGGTCAACAATAACTTAATTAAGAATACTGTAATACCTAATGGAAAGTACATAACTTACAAAGTATAACTTTTGTTCAAATTTATTTATACTATTTAATCACGACATTTGAGATAATATTGTTGATTGAGACTATATCCAAAATAGATATTGATATATTTATAATGACATGGGTTAATAATTTATTAATACATAAGGATATAATGTAAAAATTATTTATTTTATATTTTATTAACTTAAACAACAAGACACTAATATTGGTATCTATTTTAACAATCTAATTAACTAATTAAATATTATTCCTGAAACAATTTAAAAACATTTAAAATGAGTATATAGTTGAACACTGGCCGCACGGCACTGACTAAACGGCCGGTTGCCGTCGATGCCGTTCAATTAAGGTTGTAATGACCAATTCAGCCACACAAGTTAAAACTGACCAGTGTTAGGTTATAATGCCTAGTTGTGGTCAGTTTGGTCAATAATAACTTATTATGGTAAAAATCATGCAAGATATGTACAATTTTTAATATTTTGGTGTAATGACCAGTATTTGTCATCATTTGGTCAGTTGTGTTATTTAAGGTTGCAAATCAGTTAAATGTCATTTAGTATAACATCAAACATTAGTAATATTACTGACAACTTCACTAATGAAATTAAAACTGACCATTGTTATGTTATTATGTCCAGTTTTTACCAGTTTTGTTAATATTAATTAATATAATAAATAATATACTACCATTTAATCAAAATACTGCTAAATGAATTTATGGGTAAATAGCCTCTAGAAATGATCACAACTGACCAAATGATGACCAACTGACCAATACTGGTCATTACACCAAAATATTAAAAATTGTACATATCTTGCATGATTTTTACCATAATAAGTTATTATTGACCAAACTGACCACAACTAGGCATTATAACCTGACTCTGGTCAGTTTTAACTTGTGTGGCTGAATTGGTCATTACAACCTTAATTGAACGGCATCGACCGGCAGACGGCAACCGGCAGACGGGATCGAACGACATCGACCGGCACTTTGGATTTGCCGTCGAACGGCACCGGCAGACGGCAACCAGCCGCTTAGTCAGTGCATGGCCGCACAGGTAGTTAAAGAACTCCCAGTTATTCATCGGAAAGAATTGATAGCAATAGAAGCCGATGTCGTGTCCGCACAACTTCTCTATAAACCACTGAATCTTCAGTTTATTTCTCAACGATAGCCTATTGTCTAGTAATAAGCCATAGAGTCGTTTGCGGGACTTATGGGCAGTAGTTGTGACCGAAGCGCACATATAATTACATAAATATAACCAGAATATGACAAATATTAAAACAATAGATCTTAAGATACGGAGAAAGAGTTTTGTATTTTTACTGAACACTATATAAACACTTAAATCGATATAAGGTGTGACGATATAATAGAAAATAAATATTATATACTTAAACATATCATTAATCTGTTCAGTCTGTTTAGTGATATCGTTATGTTTAGCAATAGAGGTTAATATATGTTTAAAATTTTGTTTATTAATTGATACATTAATTTGTTCATTAAGTTCTTGAAATTTATATCTGAGGTAAAGAGTCGTTAAATACCAAATCACGAATCCGACAATAACTATACTTAATGAATGACTACTCCATAGGTATGTACATAATAACCAAAATATTAAGCTTGGTAGTGAATATCTATCCCAATTTTCTACATAAGACTTTATAGTCATTGTCAAAAATAGAGGGAATAATACAAAAAATAATATATAATAGAATTGTCTGATAAAATATTTGATCAAGTAATTAATTTTGGTTTCAAAAATGCGTTTATGTT